CTGGAGAAGAGCATGTGATTCTAAATCAGTGGGTCTCAAACTTTTTGCCCTGCAGCTCCCTGCACTCAACACAGACCTTTCCACAGACCACCAGCCAAGATGACAAGAAGCAGAGGGGTGGGGTGTGAGTGCAAAGGAGGAGCAGACTGAGGGTGGGGTTGGCGGGAGAGTCTGGATGAGAGGTTGGATGCAGGACTAGGGTGGGGAGACAGGGAGGGAGGATGTATGAGGGCAATGGGGTTATATGTTCTGGGCATGAGGTGGACAGGGAGAACTTATCTGGCTCTATGCCTCTCCCAGACACTGTTCCCATTGGCTGGAATCCCAGCCAATGGAAACTGCAGGGGAAGTCTGCAGGTGAGAAGTATCCTGCACTGCCATTCCCCCCAACGGGGGAGGAGGGACAGTAGCAGCACTGGGAACCACTTCCTTCCCCCAGTCAGATCTAGCCCGGGGGAGACATGGAGCTGGAGTGTTAGCACCCACTCCCTGCTGAGGGGGAGGGGCAGGCCAAGCCTGTGGACTACCTGCAAGATGGCCCCCACACTGCGAGAATCACGGTTCTAAATGGTGCCGGCAGCTTAGGAGCCCCTAGCCTCACTTTGCTTCTTGTCTCCTGGCAAGTGACAGTCTTGGGGGGAAGAAAGGAGAAGCTTGTTGTTCCCCCCACCTGCTCTTCCCAGGCAGGTTATATAATGTCCACTCAGAACTAGCCCCATAATGTGACTTGTACCAGGCAGCACCCCTGCAAGCCATCTTCCAAGAATCACCAGCAGGGATTTGGTGCACAGCACTCACAGCCTGTCTGTTGGGGCAGCTGAATTAACTAGCAGCAATGGGACAAAATTTGTTGGCTAAACTATTAGGAATGAGTTGCCTACCTCCAGGTTTAAGAGCTCAGGGATGCAAGAGAAATGCGTACAGCGCGTGGAAGCATGTTGGCCATGGGACCAGAGTTAATTCGCTCTGATGGATTCTGCTGTTTTCTTTCTCCTTTGTTGTTTCCTTAGCCTTATTGCCCCAGTGATGCCCAGCTGCAGCATGCTCAGGCTTGGCTCATTGCTGTCCTCTCCATTGAATGCGGCAGCAGACTAGAAAGGCTGCCCAAAAATGTAAAGGAACCACATGAAGAATGTTGCTAGTGAGGCGAGGGCAAGTGCAGGTTCCTCACTGGTCTCCTTCCCCTGCACCCATGCTGGAGTATTATGAGTCTCCCACTGGGAATTTCTGCCTTCCGCCTGTTACAAAGCTGCTCTCTTTTGGATGGTTTCACGGAAGTGATGGTATTTCTTCACTGTGCCCAGTAAGAAGTCCAGCTAACTGTATACAAGCCAGAAAAGCTACTAAGAGCTAGTGTTTTAGAGTAGAGGGATCAGCAATAAACTCAAACAGTATCCACACCTAACACACCATTCTGCGAATATGTTTTACGCATAATGAGCACGAAGAGCCTCTGGAAACTCTCTGAGGGTCACCCTAAAAAGCGATTGAAAACTTGACACAAAATCTAGACCTGCTAGTAGATTTCTGAGCTGCTCCCTGTTCCAGGCTAATGGGTCTCTGACTGGTGGGCTATAGCCTCATGCACACAGCCTATAGACAAAGCCAACCGCTAGTCATTCTGCTTTTTTAAACCATTCTTTATCTAGGATTTGCTAGATAAACATGATCAAACACTGTAGATTCTAGATAGTTAGTCTTCTCAAATGATTTTTTAAGCTGTCTTTGCTTTATATGGGGGTAGATGGTGAAAAGTGTTCTAGCTTCACTAAAGCCAGTGGAGCTAGGACAAGCTACACCAGCTGAGGATTTGGCCTATGGTGCTTTATTTTGGATAACTGCTACAACTCTCACTGGCTGTGAATGCATGAATTATTTTTTTAAAAAATCCATTGGTTTTTAGAATAATTCCTGGAGAGCGATATTGATTTTTGAAAGATCCCTATTGATTTTCCTAGGACTCTTTTTCACAAGGACAATGAACACCTTTTAAAAATGGTGATCACTGAAGAACGCATCATAAGAGAAAATGCATAGCAGATTGGTTGTAAACAGAGTGCATGTTGTTTATTATTTTGTACTGGATTTTTCAGTCCTGGTTGCTGTGTAAAGTACAGTTACTAGATGGCTTAACTGATGAAGAATGGGAGTGCAGGGAAGGAAAAAACACACGTTTTTCTTTACAAGATTTGAATTTCACAATCACATTGACAATTTTGCTAAATACAAGCATGTTTCATTCACATATAGCTAAATACAGCATTTTCTTCACGTTTCATTACAGTGCATAACAGAAAGCAAGGAAAAGTGTACAGTATACTTTATTCTGGAGTTCTGAGAAATTCCAGTCCAACATGCAGATTTTTAATCTGTGACCTGTGCCACAAAAATTGTTGTTTTCCTTTTGTCCTCCTGGATGTATCTTTTGAATGACACACCTGTCTGATTTCTCCAATGCCTCCTGCAGTAGTCAAAGCACTAAAACCAGTCATTAGAAAAGAATGTTTATCATAGCCTCTAAGGATTTTCATTTTAGAGGGGGAAAAAGCAGCCCAGACTTGCACACATGACTTTATTACAATATCTATTTTTATAAGCTGCCTAGAAAAAGCAAGGAATTAGAAAACAGGTGTATACAATGATCTTTTATTATTCAATATAACCATTTCCTTTTGTTTCATTATTTTAAAGTAGTTTCAGACTGTACAGATTTTTTTTCTCATACTGTAACTTTTTAAAACTATACTTACAATAAAAATTGAAGGTTACTCGAAGCCTGAACAAGCATCTTGATTTTTCTAAATGTTATATTAAAGTACTAAAAACCCAACCCAGCTAAATGAAATGTAGATTTTCTTTTGTTAAAAAAAGTAAATGCTGTGAAAAGTTCAATCGTTTTCTTCATCCTGCTATGCTGCCTCATAAGTCTTTTGTGATACAGAAAACATGAGACCCCATCTACTCCAAAATCTCTACATTTAAGACAGACTTTTTAAATTAGAAAATTGGAGAGAACTTATAGAGCTGGCTCAGACTTTAAAGTCTAAAATGGTAGGTTGGCATATTTTCCATTCAGTGAACAAGGTACATAAATACATTGGACCCTTTTAAATATGTCCTTGTTCGTGAATGTGAGAGACTGATAGCTCTGGTCTGGTTGGGTAAATGCTGCATGTTATTCATCATGCTCTACCAATGCTCTTTAATTCTTGCTGATGGTGGAAACTATCAGGGGGATAGCTTGCAATACCCATATTTTTGTAGGTCCCTCCTGAGCCAAGACCCAACCATGCCAAACTGGGCCATTCAAGAAAGGTTTTATAATGCACACACCTTCTCTGGAAATCGCTGGCAAGGCTTCCATGGACTGCAGTGGAGTTGAATGGGAGTCTTAGAGTTAGACCAGCAAATGGAAAACTGTACGACCTAATCGAAATTGACCATTGGTAAAAGGCTTCATCATTCCCCCCAGCCAACCCCCATTTCAATATTCTCAGGATCTGTTTGCAGCCCATGAATACACATTGGCCTACCATGCTTCCTCTCACCCGCAAGGATTGCAATTCTTTCTAGAAAATGTAAAGGTAAAATATTACTCATTTAAATTTTTTACAACTTTTATTCCTAAGCAATGCTTTTGTTGTTTTTATAATAAAGTTGGGCTCAAATGATACATAATTCAAGAATGGCTCTGAAGTGAAATAGATTCAGCTTGTCGGAAAACATGCTCTTATGGACTATGGTACCTTAGAGGAACAATTAGAAGTACCAGAAGCCTGTATTCAAATGCTGGATCTCTTCTGTGGTTTTCTTAATCCTTCAGATCCAAATTAACAGTTTGACTTGTAAAGCTTGCAAACTTGAATAAATGTCACATTACGTTTTGCTAACATGTTGAGCCTCCTCAGCACAACACAGGCACATTGTTATCCTGTGGCATTTCAAAAGCTATAGTTAATACAGTTCTTACACAAAGCAAAGCTGAAATGGCAGGCGGTATTCCCAGAAAATGGACAATAATTTATAGCCTTTGTAATTTAGCTACCTGCCCCTTTATATTCTACCCAAGATGGGTCCAACAAATAAAGAAAAGACATTTTCTCCTATGCTTCCTCTCGTCTTCCATTTTCACCCTCCCACACACTTTAGCTCTATACCTCTCCTTCCTCTTCCTGGTTTCCCAGATGAAAAAAAGCAACACAAAAGCAAGAAAATGCTTGTTCTTTAAAAGAAAACAGCACTTTCAGGCATGTATGATGCTCTTGATGTAAATCTTTGTTAATTTTCTTTTGTTCTTTCCTTTTTTCCCAAGGAGCAATGTAAGTTTACAGTGAAACACTGCCAATCATTCACCCTACTTCTGACAGTAAGACACAAATACCTGCATTCTCCATTCATTGACTGCCATGACCCATCTGAGAGATACTGGATGTGAGGATACACTTAAAAAGCTTAATGCTCCTAATCTGTTAATTATATTGGAAATCTGCATAGTTGAGGTACTTCTACTACAGTCATGTAGATAGATAAGTATTTATAAATCCATCCAATAATTATAATTGGAGCTGCCTTGCTGGACTTAGCACTTAAATCTCCGTTAGTCTCCTCTCCAGGGAGATGATGATAGTTAAGTTTTAATTATCAATACCATAACTGTTATTTTCCTTTTAAAGTACCTTATATAGTCTTTGTCCATGTTTTAACAAGTTACAAGAACATGAAGCCCCAAAAGCGTGTGTGCCACATCTGTAAAATATTTTCTTTTGAGTTAAGCCTGGAAGTAACATTCATGAATGGCAACTGCACTATATTCTAATCTTCCTGGAAATAAATGGATGCAAACCAAGATTTTCTCTCTCCCTTCCTGTGTGTCGTTTTAATAGACTATTCATAGAGTGGCTTCAGCACATGGCATACAAAAACAGTACATGGAAAATTCCCTGTTCTGCACCAGCTCAGTCAGATCCTCTCTTGCTCTTATGCCTCCAGTCTCCTACCACAAAAACATGCACCGTCATTCATTCTCACATAGGTCTGTAGCCCCGCCACCTCCCAATCCTGAAAGAGTATTTGGAACTGACCATTTTTTCCTGGTTTTGTTCCTCTGGTGTCCATAATAATGTGTGAGGCCATTCACCATGCTAGTGTTACAGTCCCTTTCTGTCACACTGAGTTCACTTAGTGGAGTATGTTTGATTAGTAGAGTTCATTATAGCTTTTTTCATTAGAAGTGATTAGCACAAGCATCTCCTATCTGATTTCACCACTTCTTCTGAAGAATGCACTACGTTTGGTACAAACCCACTCTTTACCCCTTCCCAGCCCTCCTGGATCGAAATTTCCCCCCTTTTAACAAGCTCATATATATCTCGAGTCAGGTCAGTGAAGGCCTTCTCCACATTAATAGCATCCCGAGCTGATGTCTCAATGTACTTCATACCATATGCAGCAGCCAGTTTCTCAGCCTCGTGTCTAGTGACTTGCCGCTGTGTGTCAAGGTCGCATTTGTGACCTACCAAAACAAAGACAATCTGGTATGGCTGGGCATGCACCTTTGTCTCTTCTAGCCACTCGTGGACGTTCTGGAAGGACCTGCGGTTTGTAATGTCAAATAAGAGGAGCCCGCCTACCGAGTTTCTGTAGTAGGCTCTGGTGATTGATCTGAAAGAGAAGCCCCCAACAACAAGAAAGTGAAGACCATGTTAGAAGTTGACATTTTAAAGAAAGGTTTTGTCCTTTTGGTGGTGGTTCAAATTTTCATTTTCCAGAATATTTCTGACCAGCTATTTGTTAGCACAGTTAGGCTTCAAGATTAACAGGCATGTAGTCTCACCTCCTGCATAACAGCCCCACAAATTCCACCCACGAATTTATGTTTCAAGCCCATAACTTCTGATTGAGTTACAGCATCTTTTTTAGAAAGACAGCCAGTCTTGACTTAAAGATTTCAAATGATGGAGAATACACCATCTTCTTAGAGAGATCGTATCAGTGGTTAGTCACCCTCACTGTTAAAAATTACTGTCTTGTTGCTACTTTGAGTTTATTTACCTTCATCTTTCAGTCATTGGATCATGCGGTGCCTTTGTCTGCAGTCTCAGAAATCTCTTCCCTAGCTATACCATGATCAAGTCACTTCCTGGTTAGAGATACTATACCATACACTGTGCACCTTCCCTAAAAGGGGTCTTCTTATTACCAACCACTTGGCAGCGAGGATGTAAAAACTGCCCAGAATAGTTAACTGGTTATATGATTTGTTTAACTGATTAACCACCAGCTGCAGGCGGTGAGGGCTACTCCTTCCCTGGCCACAGGGTGACGGGGGCTGCTCTGGGCCTGCTACCTGCCGTGGCCCTGTTGGCTAGGTGGCTGTGGTGGGGGAGACACCAGTTATCTCAGGGGTCGGCAACCTTTTCAAACCAAAGAGCCAAACTACATCAAAATTCAGAACAAGTGGTCAACAAAGAGCCGTATCAGAATAACCATTTGCATAACTGAAAATATATGATTAATAATAATAGAATGCATGAAACATTATACACACAGACTTTATTTAATGGGACTTCTACTGCTGCATCTTTTCACACATGTCTTTGATGTTTACATCACAATTGGTCAAATTCAGGTTCATACACACACTCAAGTTACATGAGTAATTATGCGTTTTTAAAATTCTGAATTTTTCATTTTAATTTAAAAAGTTGCATGTATTTTGGGAATGACAAAAGAGCCATATTTGGTTTCATACTGAGCCATATTTGTCTCGAGAGCCATAAGTTGCAGACCTCTGGGTTAGCTGGCGAGCATGCTGGTAAGGCATAAGCTTACCAGTTAACTGATCACCCGGTTAACCTTTAACATCCCTCCTTTGGCAGGTGATAGCTTTTTGTAAGGCAAAGAGGCCAGTTTTCAATGGTTTGCAAGGGAGTGGTAATCTGCAAACACTGAAAAATCAGAGGCATCTGCATGCAGGTGCACACTTTTATTCTCTTAGCTGTATTGGCTTGTGTTAGAGGCATCACAGCCAACACATTGCTAAGGGGCATTCAAACCACTCACTGGTGCAACACTTACTTAAAGCAACTTGGAGATGGACATCATTGCTTGGTAGTGATGATACAGTTTAATAATACTGCTGGTTGAAAATATGGGAAAAAAACTCCACTGACAATGTTGTGCTTTATTTTTGGGAGGGGCGGGGGTGGGGGGTGTAAAAAATGTCAATCTTTTCCAAAGGCTGGCACCAGACCTATTTGTTCAGTATGATTTTTGTTGTAAGACTTGAACTCACGGGGATGAAGTCATGGAAACGTTGATGCTCCCAACTGCCACTTTGGCACCCAAATTCAAAATGTAGCCTCTCTACTCCATGTTCAATTGCTGCCCTATCTCAGTCTCCCGACAGAGGAGGGGCAACGGGAGCAATTGCCCTGGGGCTCAGTGATTGAAAAGGGCCCAGGGCTTCCAGCAGTGGGGTCTGGAGCTCCAGGCCCTTTACATTGCCACTGGAGCGCTATACAGTGTGCTCCGGATGGATCTGAGGGCTGCCAAGGGAGAGACTGAGGGCTGGCTGCCACAGCCCCACCCCTTCTGCCCCGCCCCTTCTGGGAGTGCAGAGCTGGCCTGCCCACCTTACTCAGGGCCAGCAAGTCTGTCGGTCTCCTCCCTCCCCCCGGTCCTAACCCTAAAGGTACCTGATGTCCTGGGAACAAAAGGTTTCACTGCCAAAGTCTTAGGCATATGCAAATCCATCAAAGTTCTGACAGTTTCTGAGCCCTGTTGAGAGCCTCGAACTATGTGCTTCTATGCCTATTTCATCTGTAGGGACTGTGGAAGAGCACACCTACCAGACTGAGGACAGAAGAGGACTGCACAAAACACAGCTGAAGCGGATGGAGCGATTAGAGCATTTACCTAGGAAGTGGAAATGCAAATCCCCAGTCTGTCTAAGGCGGAAAGAGTATTCTTGGTGAGCTCACTTGATCTTTTGTGTTGTAGCTGTTCACTTTGTATAAAATGCTTTACATAGTCTCTAGGCCAGAGGACAAATGACTCTACCCATGGGGTTGGTGCATTCTCCCTGCAGCCCGAGGGTCCAGTCCCCGGCTCCCATGACTAAATATTTTATACAAAGTGGGACAGTTGCAACAGGAAAGATGTGATGTGCATGGGCACTTCCTGCAATATCCTTGGACAAGGATGGGCAATAACTTTTAATGGGGGTCCACTCCAAGATTTTGGTAAGTGATCATGGCCGTACTTTTCTATAGACAAGGTGCGGGGGGCTGAAATGAAGTTGGATGCAGAAGGGGGCTTGGGTACAGGAGAGGATACAGGGTCTGAGAGGGAGTTTGGGTGAAGGAGGGGGTCATGATCTGGGACAGGAGCTTGGGGGTGCAGGATCCAGGAAGGGGTATGGGTGCAGGACAGGATTTTGGCCTGGAGAAGAGGTACATGAGGGGGTGCAAGGTTTAGGAGGGAGTTGACCTGGAGGATGGGAGGGTTGCATAGGGTTTGGGCAGTGGCTTGGGGCAGGAAATGAAGGGGAGGGGCTAGGGTGTCAGAGTCAGGCTCTGGCCAGGAGGTGCTTACCTAGGCGTCTCCCAACCAGTAGTCCTATAGGACACCAAGGCAGGCTCCCTGCCTGCCACAGTCCCAGGCTGCTCAAAATGGCTGGTGGTTCCCTATGACTCTCTGCTCTGAGTGAGGGGGAGGTTTTGTGCACTAGGGATGTAAAAAATGAATAAACGTATTAACCATGTAATTGATACAAATTCTATCAGTTACACCGTTAACTGCTGCCGATGCTTCCAGCCCTTGGGGCTGCTGGGGCTCCAGTCCCCACGAGGTTGCCAGCTGCTGGCTCTCGACCCTGTGAGACTGCCGGCTCCTGGCCCCCCTGGGCTGCCAGCATCAGCTTATCGGTTAACAGGTTAAACATCCCTATCGCACGCTGCCCCTGATTCCCAGCAAAACCCAGCTAATAAGAGCTTAGAGATTTTGCTGGGGAATTGGGGGCAGCACACAAAGCCTCACCCTCCCTGGCGCCTGGAGCAGAGTCACAAGGAGCAGCCATCTGCTTAAAGTGGAGTGGGGCTGCTCTGAAGTGGCTGACTGCTCTGTGTCTGAGGGTGCTGGTGGGGCAGCCTGAAGGCAGGATCCAGCCTGTATCTTGCCTGCCCCTATCTCGGCAAACTTTATTGTATGAAGTTTGTGTCTTTGGAGCCCATTGTATTAATGCAAAGATTAAATATTATTGGGGGCCTGGATGATCAAAGGGCTATATTGAATAATGAGGCAGACAAGAATGGGCTTCTGGGACAACAGGTATGTTGTGAATTTCCTGGGGAATATTCAGGGGGAGGAGCAGACAAAACTCTGGGTCCAGTGATGCAAAAACCCAGACGTTTGAAGCTCTGCCCCCAGGAGAGGGCCATTGTCCGCTGATCACATGTCCCAACTCAAAGGGCCAAGCTGGACACAGGAAAGATGGAATTGTTCATGGTTGTTCTGGTTCTGAGCTAAGGCAGTTATAACTCTTAACTACAGCAAAGCCTCTTGATAGGTGTGGAAAGACTGACCCCTCCCACCTTGAATGCTAAATGGGGGCAAATTACACCACTTAGCTACTTGTCCCTTTATTCTAGCCCATTTACAGTTACTGCTGTTCCACCCATTTGGAACCCAGGTCTTAATTTGGCCAACTGATTCTGAAACTTGATTAGCTTCTCTGCCTATTCTGGGTAGCTGAAACAAAAACCAGGACTATGTAGCACTTTAAAGACTAACAAGATGGTTTATTAGGTGATGAGCTTTTGTGGGCCAGACGCACTTCCTCAGATCAAATAGTGGAAGAAAATTGTCACAACCATATATACCAAAGGATACAATTGAAAAAAATGAACACATATGAAAAGGACAAATCAAATTTCAGAACAGAAGGGGGATGGGGAGGCGGAAAGGTAAATGTCTGTGAGCTAACGATATTAGAGGTGATAATTGGGGAAGCTATCTTTGTAATGGGTAAGGTAATTAGAGTCTTTGTTCAAACCTAAGCGTAAAGTGTTGAATTTGAGCATGAATGACAGTTCAGAAGATTCTCTTTCAAGAGTATTCTTGAAAGGCTTTTGAAGCAGGATGCAGGTAATTAAGTCATTGAGACAATGTCCTTTCTGGTTGAAATGGCAAGAAACCTGCATCCTGCTTCAAAAGCCTTTCAAGAATAGTCTTGAAAGAGAATCCTCTGAACTGTCATTCATGCTCAAATTCAACACTTTACGCTTAGGTTTGAACAAAGACTCTAATTACCTTACCCATTACAAAGATAGCTTCCCCAATTATCACCTCTAATATCGCTAGCTCACAGACATTTACCTTTCCGCCTCCCCATCCCCCTTCTGTTCTGAAATTTGATTTGTCCTTTTCATATGTGTTCATTTTTTTCAATTGTATCCTTTGGTATATATGGTTGTGACAATTTTCTTCCACTATTTGATCTGAGGAAGTGCGTCTGGCCCACAAAAGCTCATCACCTAATAAACCATCTTGTTAGTCTTTAAAGTGCTACATAGTCCTGTATTTTGTTTCAGCTACACCAGACTAACACAGCTACATTTCTATAACTATTCTGGGTAGGAGACTCTCAGCTGGAGTCTATCGCTGTTTGAATTTTTCCATTCTCTTGCAAGTGGCTAAAAGGTTGCCTGATGGAAATAGGCAGCTGGGCTGCTGGTGGGCACATTACTCTTCACATAACACAGGTTGTAAAGTCTTTTATTCTTGTTAGCATTACACAATCAATTGGCCTTCACGAGGACATTCAAGGGAAGAAGACATGGAATTACAACCATTTGGGACAGCAAACCAGCCAGGTCCACGCAGGGTAAGACCATTCTCCACAGCGTAGTGCGGGTCCTGAAAGATGGCCCCATAATGCTTTCCAAGCAGCCAACTTGACTCAGTGCTCTCCCACAGCCCATGTCATTTTGGGCCCTGATTCAGCAAAGCACTCAGCACACACTTCACTTTGACTGAGCCACTGGATAAAGTGGAGTTGCTCCTGTTTTGTATCAGAATAATTGAGGTCATACCCTGGGCCTGGCAGAGCTGTCCAGGTTGTGGAAATAGCTCTAACCCTAATCCAAAAAATAGCACAGCTACAAAACAGGAGGCCAGTAACTCCTCAGACACAATCATGAGAGCAAAGTGAGCTTATTTTCCCCTGTGTTCACTACCCATTTAAGCAAACAATGTAGGGAAGACCTGGAAGCCAGGGCTGGGCAGGAGGGCGTCAACAGGGCATCACTCTTCAGAAGCGATTCAACCTATGAAGAAAGTTTGGGTGCTACTGCAGTCTGGCCCTTCACCAGGGTGCTAGCATCATTCACTGGTACTAGCTTTCATACTCAAGTCTGAAAGGCCTGTGTCCCTCAAAGGGAAAAGAGATTAGAGCTAATAGATTGTAGAAATCGCCACAATACTGTAAAAAGGACCTCTCTCATATAAAAGCACATCACTGTTTTAAAGAAGAGACCTGTAGAGGAGCAAAAAAATGACTTCTGTCTGTTTAATTCTTGATGCCATACAAAGATGACCTGGAACAGGGAGTTCAGTGGGTTGTTTTTAATATTGATTTTTTTTTTCTGGTGCGTTTTATATTAGAAATTCAGGTCTTTGTCTCTTTGTCCTCCTGACAAGACTCTGGGGACAGGAGAACACTTTTTCTTCATCCTAGTAATAACACAGCCTGATTCTTAATCAGGGAAATGATAACAGCACCCAAGCCTGAAAGATGAGCAAAGGGAAGGGAAAGTGATTTTTGTCCGACTGTTTAAAATGCTTCCTTTTGGTTTCGTATTGCTTAATGCCAATGACTAAGAACACTTTTGGAAACAGGGCATCTTGCTTAAACTGAACCCTTCCCCCCCCACACACACACCTACCCTACTCTTTCAAGAAAGGTAAGAGGGCTTCCCTTCCATATGATCTGTGACCCTATGAGAGGTCAGCTGGCCAAACCAGGGGTAAGCAGCCACAATATTTTTAGACTTTAAAGCAAGGAAAAAATATCGTAGTTGAAAAACCTTTCAAGCCATCTTTATGCAGCACAAAACATGAGGGGAGATGAGGAGTGGTGGGGAGTGCTAGCTTAAACTCATTCTTTAAAAAAGTCCTTAACGGGTAACCTTTAAATTCCAAGCTCTAACGATAGAGCCGGTAGCAAATGAACACTGGTAACTGCCCTCTCCCAATGGTATAAATCTGGTGTTTCTAGCCCTGAATGGATGCAAAATAATCAGACCTCACATATGTCACCAGCTAAGGTCTGAGTATTGTCCATCCTGGGTCACAGCCACTGTCATACGAGGGAGAGATTCAGCTACTGAAACATTCTGGATCAGACTAATAAAAAAATGGCAGCTTTTTGAAGCTGCTCCAAGGTTTGGAATGATGGAAGTGGCCACTTGGGAGATGGCTGAGTGAGCAGAGCGTGGGTGAAAGAGGTATGATAAATACAATCATCACATGGCTGCAATTTACCAGATGGTGCTGCAGTGAATCCCCTGGATAGCCCCCGCCCCCATATACTCCTTTTCTTTGCTAATGAAGTCAAGTTTGCTACCAATTAGCCTCTTAAATGACTAGTCCCCATTCAGTATTCACTGCTGCAGGCTGACACACACACACTACAGCAGTACCTGTATGTAGGAAGACAGCATTTCGTCACAGTCAGTCTAAATCCTTTATCTCCAACCCACAGTCAATAGACTTGAGTGAAAGCTGCTACACTTTTGACAATCAAGTTTCCATATTTAGATGCCTCATTTATGATCCTAGGAACCTAATTTTAGGCAGCCCAGTTTGAACACTTGGCTGCTATTTCTTTTCACCAGTCTGTTACATGCTCTTCCTTCATGTTCCTGCATACCCTACATTTTTTTATGTGACTAGCAAATTGCAGTGAATTTGCCTTGGCTTTCTGCACTTGGTGAACATTTATTTCTGCTCCCACATGCAGAGTTCAGTTTTGATTTATTTTCATTTGGGCCAGTGGGAGGCAAACAAGCCTTGTTATGTTTCAAAATCTTTCATTCATCCTCCGCTGCAGAGACAGGCTGTGTGTTTCTGTATAACTTGGGCAACCGTTAATACATGCTCAGAATGTGGATTTTGCCTACTACATCTTTGTGGGCTTAGCAGAAAGTTAAAGACAAAATCTTTATGCCATTGATTTCAACAAGACTTAGACATGAACAAAGCAAGCCAAATTGGCTCTAAAATGGAACTACATCTCAGTCTCCATGTTGCAATTTATAATTTTGGCTTGCTCAGGAGCACGGATCTTTAAAAATCCAGTCTGAGGATTGTAGGGATGGTACTACATCTTGCTACGCAAAAGCCTGTTTAGAAATTCCCTCTTACATAAAAGAGCATCAGTGGAGAAATAATTCATAATGACCTGGAGTGATCATATTTCAATGCACAAGCCCAAGCCAGCAGCATTAACTGTGCATTTCTTGGCTTCCAAGTGCCTGATTTCACAACCTTATTAACAATGATGATTTGTCTAATCAGAATTGTCCTGACTCTTTAGACTTCATTCACTCCCCCTCTGAGGCTTGAATGTATTGTTCTGCTGCATCAAAAGCCACAGCAGGCTCACTGAATGGAACCCTGCCTAGTTCTTTGTACAAAAGGCAAAGGCATCACAGAAAAAGGGAGAAAGGCAGCTAGCTAATTTCATCCAGTCTAGGCTGGCCAGCATCCCTCCCAAGGGCGGAAAGACAGATTCTCTCCACCTAGCACATTTTAAAAGCCAGCTCCTATCTCCCGCCAAGCTAAGGGCCAGGTGTCAGAGGGTTGCAGTGTATTAGGGCCTGTTCTGGGGCAGGCCTGCTGAGAGCCCCTGTCAGGTTAGCTTTGCTCTAGCAAGGGTTTGGCTTGTTTCCTTCCCTGCGCCAGGGCGGATGCTTGCCCAAGGCCGCCTAGGATTACAAGGGATGAGGGTCAAAACGGACGCCTGGCTAGTCTGGTTCAGCCAAAATAACCAGGAGTCCTGGGGCACCTTAAAGACTGACACATTTATGGTTCCCTGGCCTGGAGCCCACTCCACAGATGCAAGGAGAGAGGGAGAACGGGCTGCGGGCGCTGCTACTAGAGGGCGCTGCCTGCACAGGGGCTTTGCTCCCAGACTAGGCGCCCCCCTCACCTCGCCCTCCTCCAGCAGCAGGTCTGTGAACTCGAAAGAGCCCGGGCGAGCTCGCTTCCCGGAGCAAGCGGAGCTACAGCCGTAAAGCCGCCCCTGCCCCGGCTCTCACCTGAATCGCTCCTGCCCGGCCGTGTCCCAAATCTGCAGCTTGATCCGTTTCCCCGGCTCAATCTCCACCAGCCGGGAGAAGAAATCCACGCCCACCGTGGGGTCCGAGACCTGGGCGAAGCGCCCCTCGGTGAAGCGGCGGATCAGGCAGGATTTGCCCACGGTGGAGTCCCCGATGACGATCAGGCGGAACTGATAGAGCCAGATCGCTTCCATGCTGCCCCCTGCGCCCGGCTCTGGCCTCGCTGGAGGGGGCTGGGTTGGCCCGGGCCCCGCCGGCT